ATTTGATGCGTTCATTCCCAATCCTCAGATCAGCCCAAGTTTAGTTGAATTGATATAAATTACTCTAAAAATAAATAAAATAGATTAATTACTTTTATTTTTGCATTATAGTTCATAGTTACTCACAATAATGATTAGTTTTTTTCAGTTCGTTGCTTGTATATTTATTAATTCGTCACAATTCCGAATTCATCATAATACCCTGATTCTGCTTATAAATTTTAGGTTATGCCATTTGGGTTATACAATACACCTACCACATTTCAATAGTTTATAGATAAAGTTCTAGCAGAATATATCAGAAAATTTGTAGCTGTATATATAGACGATATTAATATTTATTCATGAACATTCAATGAATATCTAGTTTATTTGAAGAAAGTTTTTATAAAATTAGAGAAAGCTGATCTAAAGATTAATATAGAATAATACAGTTTTTTTAAACCAAACATACAGTTTTTAGAACATATTGTTGGTCAAAAAAGAATCCAATCTGACAAAAAAAAGATTAAAAAAGTCAAAAATTATCTAGCTTCAAAGACTTTTTAACAATTAAAGGCATTTATAAGACTTGCATTCTATTATAGTTATTTCATAAAAGGTTTTGTAGCTATAGCATGACCCTATATAACCTATTAAAAAAAAATGTAAAGTATGAGTGGAGTAACAACCAACAAACAGTCTTTGAGAAATTGAAAACCAACCTAACTACAGCACCCATTCTTTAGTACTCCAACTTTTCAAAAACATTCTTTTGCAAACTGACATCTTAGTTATTAGGCTAGATGCATTACTGGTTCAAAAGGATAAAGAAAACAAAGACTGAGTTATCTTTTACGCTAGTAGAGATTTATCACAGGCTAAGAAGAATTATTCACCTACGAGATAAAGTGTCTTGCCATGTTGTAGGTGATGAAGTACTATTATCACTACTCTAGATTTAAACTCTTCATAGTAGTAAAAGACTATATGGCATTAAAGTGGTTTCATATTGCAAAGTTAAACAGAAGACATGTCTAATAAATAATTAGGCTACAGCTATATAACTATACTATCCAGTACAGAGCTAGTAGGGTTCATAGTGATGCTGATACACTTTCTTGCCAGAACAAAGCTAAGAGTAAAATAAAAGAAATCAAAAGGGTCAGTAAAGTAAAAATTAAAGAAAAAGACACTAGAACTATTAAAGAGTAAGACTAGCTAATATTATTGGCTGAATATGTCACCAATAATGGCTAGAAAGGAGGCTAAAGTTGTTCAAAAGAAGAATCTGAAGTTATAATAAAGAAGAAAAATTAAATACCCATGAAGAGTATCAAGAGTTACTA